TTATTATTGAGAATTGGAAAGTCTTCCTCTGATCATTTCTGCCTTACTTCTGCCTCACTCCTCTTTTGAGGTATCAAATTCATAGAGTTTTTCTGCATACGATTTCTCACGTGGTTTGAAGCGTCTCTTTTTCTTTTTCCCGTTTCTTCGTTGCACTTTGGCAAGATTTTGCTGGAGTGCTTTTCGACACGTTTCACACAGTTCGTAACAGGCTGGTAGAGAGTCATGCATTTGGTAAAGCGTTCCATTGTGGTTGTTAAAACTTGATCTCTGTCTTCAATATTCATGTTGGTAAAATCTGCTGTATTTAAATTCGTATCCAATTCTGTGCTGTGATTGCTTGGAATTGTGTTCGAGGAGGATTCAATAGAATCATCGACCTGCATTCGTTTTTGTGAGCCTCTCAACAGAAAATTTGTAGAGCTCAAAGAGCTAGTAATGCTCTTAGAATTTGAGTAGGACTTTGAACTGGCATTATTTAAGACTTGATTAACAATGATGTTGTCTTTCTCATCTTCTTCTGCATACTCGTTCTTTCCAACAAATGTAACTTCTTCCTCATTCAAATTATCATAGTTATAGGATCCAAATACATAGTCACCATCATCATCGTCGTCGTTGATTTCTTCAACTGTAGTTTTCTTCTTCTTTTGGGAAGTTGTTTGCTGTTTCTTTTGATTATTCTTCTTATTGGAGCACTGCATTTTCTCGTCATCCTCATCTTGCTCTCCAAAAATATCATCCTCATCTTCCTCGTTAATAACTTTTCCAAATCCAACAAGAACTCCTGTTTTTGTGTGCCTTCTTTGATAATCTTCTAACTTGTTGGCTATTGTAGAAAAATTGTCGAGGCAATATGCCATCTCTTTACCGCATGCTACTGCTCTTGACTGCAAAACATAGTTCGTTGTTTCAAATTTGCATTTTTCAGTATCGTTCGATGTCGAATTCAGACAATTCCTCATTTCAGAGAATTCTCTCTGGAATATTTTGAGCTGAGCCCAATGAATCTTCTCAGCAATGGATCTATTGCTGTCCTTATGTTGATTTACACAAAATTTTTCTCGCGCTTCTATTTGAGGTCCTTCTGAAAGGCCTTCCGTTTCTGAGACTAAGTTAAGCAGCGCAGAAACCTTTGGGAGAAATATCCTCAAAGAGTTCTTCTCTTCAATTAAATCCTTAGTTTCAAAATAAATTTGTTTCATTTCTTGTGTATAAGGATCAGTTCCTTCAACACAATCTCTACATTGTGTCACAGTCTCGAGAGCCTCTTCCTTATTGAGAATATTCGATGAGAAAGCCTTATGTCCACTGACAAGGTTGATTGTATCTGTCGTTGGTAAACATCTATGAGTCAAAGTAAAGTACTCTTCTGCATCGACCATGCCACTCACATGGCAAGCTAACTGCATCGTCTCCAATGTTTTTGGATCTGGCACAAATGGATGTCCATCTAGAGGTTCTCTTGGCATGTTCGAACATTTTGCCCATGAATTCATTAGTTTGAACATGTTTTTCAAGTGATATTTTCGTTGAACTCGTGCAAAAATCTCGTCATCTTCTAAGTCTTCAAGAGACAACGTCGTTAATCTATCTTCGAGTTCTTCTTCTTCTTTTTTCTTCTCTATCTTTGATTTTTCCTTTTTCTCACTCTGGTGTTTTGATTGAGTTTGTTTGAGAAATTGTTGAAATATTTCTTCGGAAGTTGGCGCTTGAGAGTTGTGTTGTTGCAGTTCGTGTTGTGATGATGAGAAATTCTTTGATTCTTGTTCCTGAGCATGAACCATCAAGCGATGAAAGGGAGATTGAAATACATTATAATTAGAGGACAATAAACCATTCCAAAACCATGATGAAAATCGGAAAGATGATGACGATGAGGGTGCACGATTAAAATTGCTCGTACGTGATTGATCATGTCGATTCAATGTATGAAGCTTCTCATTGTTTGTTTCCGAAGAAAGGGTTGTTGATCCTTTACGGAATATTTGAAACCATCCAAAGACCATCTTCTCTCAGTACGATGATGATGACGTACAATCTCAAAAATCAATATATTCAAACAACAACAACAACTGCTCGGAATATATACTATTATTCGTAAAAATATTATCAATACTTGTTGATGATTCCGTAATTGACCAACTCTCAAGCAAGCAGAAATCCTCACAAACAAAAACGCCCCACAAAAAACTCTTCAATTTTTATGAAGTTGAAAAATTGAAAGAAAAAAATATGGTACAAGCAAAAGCCTCCTCTTCCTCGTCGTCCTCAACGACGGAGACTTCTTCTCCTGGAACCACAAATATTGCATCATCTCGGCCCGATGCCATTTCTCAACGATTAATGGTTCAATGCTTTCGTGAACTTTTTATAAAGATGGACGTATTGGAAGAGAGTTTACCTGCGGTATCGGATTCAAAGAAAAATCATGATTCTTCAGAGGAACAAGTTCAATCAAAGAGACAAAACGAAGCATCGGAATCATGGGGAGACTTTGTTCCTTTAAAAAGAGAAGAAGTGATGGAACTCATTGAAGGAGGAAAAAAGAGAACACAAGTTTTGCAAAAAAACCAATATTTGAACATGACTGTAGAAGATACTCAGAGGGAAACAAAGAAAAGGCTGACAACTCTAATAAGGACTGTTAAAAATTTGGCGTGTACTGAAGAAAATGTTTTGACCATCGAGAATTGTTTGACTTTAATATTTGAAATTATACATAATGGCCTAATGAGAAATGGTTTGAAAGTGATAACATCTCAAAAAGGAGGTCAGCTCGACGATTTGAAAGTCATATCTGGTTATTTATGTAAGGATGCAAAAGAATCAAAAACAGGAAGCAATGAGATTGAAAATAACGTGAATGGATCATCCTATATGGAGTCACTTTCAGCCATTATTACAACATTGAAGGGAAAGAGAGAAATTACGAACAACATTGTTTTTTTGAAAGCATTAATTGCATCTGTTATTTGCTACTTTGACCTCAATCAACAAGAATCCCACAAGAACTTTGTTGAATTGGCTTGTCACGTTCTACAGTTTTTGATCAACGAGTGTTATAAATTGGTGTATCCAGATCCACGTGAATTACTCTATAGAGGAATGCGAGATGATGCATCAGATGCACATTTGAGAAGAATTCAAAATTGTTTTGGCCTTAATTCTAATGACATTGTCGAAGAAACGGAAAAGCCTCCTTTGGAAGGCACAATTTTAACACCTCTAGAATTTTGCCAACTTTTTAGAGTTTACAGTTTCATGGTACAGAGAGCTCTTTCCACTGCATATCCATTTACAATTACAATCAATGCTCATCTCCTTATCAATAGGGTACTCCAGGAAACTTTCTTACTTCAAGCTATTTCCACACAAGTGTTGAAAAAGCCCAACAGAGAGATCAAGTCCATTTTATACGCTGCAAGCACAGACGGCCAAAAACTGCAATCTTCTTTCTATGCCATCATTTTGCCAATTATCCATTCAGAAAGTTTAAAGATGCTTTCTTCACTGATAAATGCAGGAACAGAACAATTACTGCCATATATTAACAGCATTTGTCAAATTCTAGTTACAGAAACAAGGAATTGGAAGAGTTCTATACTGATAGCACTTTGCGACTACTGCAACAGCGAGCCATATTTTGAGGTTTACAAAGAGTTAATGAGATGTCTTACCATTTTGGCATCCAAGCATGGAGGAAAAACCAGTGAAAAATGCACTCGCCTTGTTCTACCGCATTTAATTGACATAATTTCTCAATTTACTTATTTTGTGGATCATCAAATATTTTCTTTGCCTCTAACACAGGTGCAACAGCAACATGCTGTAGAGAATTATGAACTCTCTTCTAAAAAGAAGAAGAAAAAGCAAAACACAATAGAAGAAGACCTCGTCTTAAATCCAGAAATTTTCAACCAATTTTCTAGAATTGTATTTGTCACACTTAAGGCCATTCAACATTTGATGAATGACAGTAGTGTCCTGATCACTGTGACAAGACAAGTAGATTCCCGATACAAGTCCACCTCAGAAACAGAAAACTCCGTAGTGGATGTGCTAAACACCATTGTTGACTTTTTATCGTCCATTATTGGGTTTGTATCCAAGTGGCATGACCTTGATGCCTTCTTTTCCACCTCAAACATTTCAATTTACAGTGCCTCTCAAGTAAGAAGTTATCATGAAAACTTGATTCCAATTATTATTGCCATGTATGAAGCACTACTTCCATCTCTGCTTTCTACCTCGTCCGTTCACACTCAGTCTCCTTTCCTTTCTCACGCTTTAATTATTTTACAGAAAGGAAAATCAAGCTTGATTCCTGAGCTTGTTTCAACTTGCATGACCGGTTTAAACGTCTTAGAGGGATTTTTACACCCCAAGTCCGCTCCATTGTATGTTCCCTCAGCCGAGTCTGTACAACAACAGAATGCTTCTTTGGATAGTACTATGAAAAATAGTTTGTTATCTTCATCTTCCTCGTCTGATATTCAATCTAGATTTTCAAATCGATTGAATACACTCTCGAATAGCCATGAAGAAGATGGTGACGATGAATCAGTTGATTTGGATGAGAAAATGGAATCCCCTCTGGAAACTAAATTGCAAATTGTTCTCGACAAAAAGCCAACTCAAGTGGAGAGCATAAAGGAAACACAACAAGTGGAAAAACCATCAAAGCAGGAAAAGAAGAAAGCACAAGAGGAATTGCTCCCCAAACAAGAGACAACCAAAGAAATGTTGACATCAAAAAAGAGAGAGCTTAGTACTGAAGCATCTGAGGAAAAAAGTGCACAATCCAAAAAGAGAGATGCTGTGACTAGTTCTTCCATTCTTGATAAAATCAAAGAAAAAAAGAATAAGCAACGAAAAGTGGATCTCTCCGATGAAGACAAGAAGCGGGACGCTCAAGTTACACAACAAGAGGTCTGCTTTGGACCAAAGAAAACCACAACCCAAACACCATCAAGTTCAATGACAAAATATGTTCAAGACAATTCAGAAGACTTTGAGGATGCAACCAAATTCAGCTCTGAATCAGATGACGATGGGGAGGATATCTCCAATATTAAGTTGGTAGATAATGATGAAATTGGTGACGTCTCTGCATTAGATCTCCACTTTTAAAATTTCATTAAAAACGATTTTAACTATTGTTCGTTGTAGGAGGAGCCCCAAACAATCCGAATATGTGAGTCAACTTGTCTTGAAATAAAAAAACACCTCATTGATGATTTAATCTCTTCAAGTAAGCATCCCATCCAAGTTTTCTATAGAGCTGAGCAGCTCCCTTGCGATCCTTATCGTGATAAATACCTCTTCCTACAATAATTACGTCACACTTCTTTTCACACACCACATATTCTGGGGAGTTGTATTGTTGTCCAAGGGAATCTCCCTTAACGTCAAGTCTCACTCCTGGAGTGCAATACAAAAATTGATCTAAGTCATCCCTGAGTTTGCTTTGGCAAATAAAACCACTCACAAAGTCTGGATGTTCAAGTGCAACACGTAATGCCTCTTGTTGGGTTGATTCATTCGTGGTAGCTCCTTCAGTACTCATTTGGGCAATTAATAATAAACCTCGTTCCTCATTGATCGATTCTTCTTTCAAAGCCTCTTTGAGAGCCTTGACCAGAGATGAACCACCACTCACCATATGAGCATTACAAAGATCTGACCATTGAGCGATTTTGAATGGCCCTCTTGCATATTGTTGCTTGACGACATTTCCAATATCAGCGAGCTTTCGATCTTCAAAAATTAAAAAGTTGTGCTTTTCAGCAAGTGCCTTGAGCTGTTTGGTAAACTCTTCATCAGGTTGATCATCCAAAGTGTCGACATGAGTTTTCAACATGCAAATTTCAGAACCACACTCCTCCGCCAATTTCAATAAATCTTGCTTACTGGTAATATCGGCAGCAATACACAAATTTGTTTGCTTTTGTTCCATCAAAGTAAATAGCTTCTTAGAAAATTCGTTATTAGATAACTGAGCTCGCTCTCCAAAGCTGAGTTCCTTCTTTTTTGGAGCTTGTGGTTGCTGAGTTTCTTGTGGGAATTTGTTGTTTGCAATGAAAGTGAGAATTTCCTCACGTGTTTCTTGAGTCATTTTGCCAAGTTTCACAAAGATTTGTGACACTTCTGACATGGTCAAGCATGGATGGACTCGATACTCCTTGTCACCCTTCTTCAAGACATGCATATTATTTGCAAATGGTAGTTGTTCTCTTGTCAAAAATACAAGGGCATCTGTGACAATTAATCCTTCATTCTCAAGCTTTTCTGCTGTTTCCATTATGCTTGCGCCACTTGTGATGACGTCCTCAATTAACAAACAATTGGTTTCATTCTTGACAAAGACACCTTCAACCATGTTTCCTGTTCCATATTGCTTTCTTTCTTTTCTGCAAATAACCATTGGCAAGTTATGTGACACAGACATGCATGATGAAAATGTCAATGCAGAGTATGGTACACCACAAATGACCTTTTTATCCATATTCGCCACCAATTGTCTTTCAGTCATCAGATTGTAAAACAGCTCTGAAATTTGAGCCAACATTTTAGGATAGCACGGAATAATTCTTAAATCCACATAAAAAGGAGAAACAATTCCAGATTTTAAGGTAAACTTTCCAAACTTTAAAGCTCCAATCTCACACAATTGTTGGACCAATTCTTCCTTCAAGCTTTGCAAACCATTCATATCGGACATTTACAAACCAGAAACGACGAAACAACAACCTCTTTTTTCAAGAAAGTATAAAGATAAATCTTATATAATAGACAAGTGAAAGTATTCTTCGAACCTTCGTAACCTTCGGATCTGATGCTCCTTCTTGAGAAACCGAGAAACCACTAAAAAAAACCACTGCAAAGAAGATGTAATTTGCTCTATTGTTGCTCTCTAAACAATGAGCCTCTCTACGCTTGCTGCTTTCGGAAACGAGAAATCTCTTTCAATTCTGAGAGAGGTATTTTTTTTGAGAAGGAAAAAGAAAAAAAAGAGGTCCCGACTTGATTTTCTTCTTGCAAGAAAAATTTGAATGATGATTCACTTTGTGAGAGTAGGTGTGAGGTAGTAGTGTGAGGACAGGCGAGTCGTGAGGTAGTAGTGTCGGTCGGATTTGTGCTCAACAGGAATGGATAAGTGGTTGAAAGGGAGAGATCAAACTCTCTTCCTCTATATTCATGGAATGGTCTTTTCGAAAAGTTTTTTTTTCAATAAAAAAATAAACAAGATGAAAACCTTCATGACGGGTTGTTGTTCTTGTGTCGGAAGAAGAAGAGCAACGGCGGCAGATGAGAAACGGACCTTGTGGAGGTTGAAACAATGGAAGAGTTCTGGACTAGTGCCAGTATTTCCGAATCGGAAATCAGTTTTGATGTTAGGAGGAAGATGTAATTCTTCAGAGTTCTTGGAGACATTTTCTCAAATATGGAGCCATCAATATCATTCGGAGAACTCTAGTACTCGTAGCAATTTTGAAAGAAATACTATAATAACGGAGCAGAGCAATGATAATAATCATTGTCAAAATAACCATAGGGTATCATCATTATCACACAAGAATGCTATGAGAAATAATGTTTCGATTAATAATCATTTAAATTATTGTTCAAACACAATGATGATGCTAGCAAATAACAATTCAAAACTCGCCTTCAGAAATTACTCAACGTTGGCATCTAATGCAAAGAAAATTAAAGAGCATAACAAATCGGAACTGGATTTGTCATCCTTTACTCCCAAATATATCAGAAACTTTTGCATCATTGCACATATTGACCACGGAAAGAGCACACTCGCCGATTATTTACTGAAAGAAACGAATACCATTACTCCAGAGATTTTGAAAGATAACGCCCAATTTCTTGATAGGCTACAAGTAGAACGAGAGCGAGGAATCACTGTGAAGGCTCAGTCTTGTGCCATGTTTTATGAATACAATGGAAAGAAATATTTATTGAATTTAATTGATACACCTGTAAGTTGAATTTAATCCTGAAAGTAACACGACATTTAACCATCATGAATTATTTTCAAAATTATTTTCATGTTGGAATTTGTTGCAAAATTTAAATTAATTTTATGAACAACATCAACAGGGCCACGTTGATTTCAGTTATGAAGTCAGTAGAAGTATGGGTGCTTGCGATGGAGCTCTACTGCTCGTGGACTCTGGACAAGGTGTTCAAGCTCAAACTCTTGCAAATTATTTCCTTGCATTGGAGGAGAATCTTGAAATTATTCCAATAATTACGAAAATTGACCAGCAAACGGCTCAACCAGAGGTTGTCGAAAAGGAAATGACAGGAATTTTGGGAGTTGAAAAGGAAGACATCCTCAGAGTGAGTGCAAAATCTGGTTTAAATTGTGAGAAGATAATTCCAGCAGTTATCGAGAAAATTCCTCCTCCTTCACCTCCAAAATGTAAGGATGACGAAACACCAGGTGCTCTTAAGGCTCTAATTTTCGACTCGTGGTACGACGAATATTTTGGAGCTGTCGCTCTTGTATATATTGCCCAAGGAAGCGTAGAAGTAGGCGATTTTATTTACTCCTCAGCAAATGTCAAGGCAGCTTCTAGGCCAACTAAATATCAAGTGACCAAGTTGGGAATTTTGAACCCAGATCAAGTACCAGTGGACAAATTATTTCAAGGTCAAGTTGGATATTTGGTGTGTGGCATGAAGAGCACAAAGGAAGCACAAATTGGAGACACACTTTATTTATGTGATTCAAAGATTGAACCTTTACCTGGATTTAAACAAGCCAAGCCTATGGTCTATGCTGGTATTTATCCTTTGGAGACTTCTGAATTTGACAAACTAAGAGATGTGATTGATAAGCTGCTTTTAACTGATAGAAGCGTAACCATTGAAAAAGAGACAAGCGCTGCCCTAGGTACAGGTTTTAGATGTGGATTTTTAGGTCTTTTACAGTAAGTTTTTGAACTATCATTTCGTTGTTCAAATAATTGTTGACTACGAAAAAAGTATGGACGTGTTCAAACAACGGTTAGCCCAAGAGTTTACTGTTGAGACTATTATAACGGCCCCAACAGTTACATACAAAGTAGTAATGCCATCTTCAGGAAAGAGAACAAGCTTCAATACTACAGAAGATCAAATTGTCGAATACATTGACAACCCCAATGATTTTCCAGAACACCCAGAGGCCCAAGTTTATGAACCAATAGCAAATTGCACCATTATGACTCCAAGAGAATTTGTTGGAGATATTATTTCACTTTGCCAAGATAGAAGAGGAGTGCAAGTAAGCATTGAATATTTCTCAAGCGAAAGAGTTTCACTGCAGTATAAGATACCACTCAATGAGATGATTTACGTAAGTAATTTGCAGTTCCATTGACCTGACACTCTGAACATTTCACAACATATCATTTTGACATCAAAATAGGACTTTTTCGATAAATTAAAATCAATGACCAAAGGTTATGCGACCCTTGATTATGAGGAAGCTGGATTCCAATTGTCTGATGTTGTCAAACTGACAGTCATGTTAAATAAGGATCCTGTAGATGCCCTCTCTTACATTGTACATGAAAGTAAGGCCTATGTTAAAGCAAGAGAAGTCGTACAAAAATTGAAAAAGCTCATTTCGAGACAACTTTTCGAAGTCAACATTCAATGTGCTGTGGGACAAAAAATTATTGCCAGCGAAAAACTGAAAGCTTTCAGAAAGAACGTGACAGCCAAATGTTATGGTGGTGACATTACTAGAAAGAGAAAGTTGTTAGAAAAGCAAAAAGAGGGTAAGAAGAAGATGAAACAACTTGGATCTGTTTCAGTACCACAGGATGCTTTTACAGTTTTATTCTCTGAGGGAGATGTTGAGGATGTCAATGAAGATTAAATCTGCTCGTGAGAGAATAAGAGGAAATTAAAGTCTTAAAGGCATATACTAGAAGCAAACATACGATCAATAAAATGGAGGTCCGAAGCACAATTTTTGAGAGATGACATTTCGGATTTCTTAAGAACATGAACTCCGAAAGGTTTGTCACATCTCTCAATATATTCGTTCATCCTTCCCATTATTATAACATTACATTTTAATACAACCAAAAAACATCAACAACACTTTAACTCAACACGACGGTCGACGATCGTAAACTGCACACTCTTTCAATCAATCATGACTAGTGCTTTAAGTATTTTGGTTGCCACATGGTCCTATCTGTGCATGGATGCCCTCTTACTTTTAGTTGCATTTCTTGTTTTGTGGTTTCTTTATGCTACCTGTTGCATCTATTGGAATTATCGAAAAGTGAAACACATTCCCGGTTCTTTTCAATATTTCTTTAGTTTTATTCCAGTAAGTAACACAAGAAGGTGAACTTGCGCCTCAGAGAAGAATGAATATATATATATATATATTATTCCTTCAAAATTTATACTCAACATACATGATGATGATTCATGTACTATGAACTCCTGGTGTGTGGTGGTTCCTTGTTGTTGGTATGGCTAAAAGATACCTTTTTTTGCTGAACACATCTATTTTGGAGGAGAGGACACGGTCGAGAAGCTCATTCAAGAGAAGGGTGAAGCCAAAACTGGTCTCGTTCGTGTGTCCATGGCCTCCAAGAATGTGGTCATTCTCAACGATCCACATCTCATCAAGGAAATGACAGTCACAAAAGAAAAATGTTTCAAAAAGAATCCAGAAACTTACAATGCTTTCCGAACCTTTGGAGACAATATTTTGAGTGCATGCAATCATGAAGAATGGAAGATTCATCACAAGATTTGTTCACCTGCCTTTTCATCGAGAAATTTACAACACTTAACACAAGTGGCTGGTCATTGTGTGGATGAAATGGTGGAATTTCGATGGAAACGCAACTATTCGATTGAACAAGGTTTTCAAATGGATATGAAAGATTATTCGGATTTAACCTTGCATATTCTTGGATTGAGTGTGTTTGGTTTGAATTTTGGATTCTTCACATCGATCACATGCCATTCTTCTTCCATGAATTTGGACAATAAGAATGTTCACACCAATCACTCGAATCATTCCAATCACACCAATCACTCCAATAATAACCATAATATCCCAAAGTATCATCAATTCCATCACGACACTCTCAATAAGGGAATAGAATTTCGAAAGGCCATTGAAGTCATGTTCACACGAGGAGTTATTTTAGAAAACTTTTTAAAATACGAATCGTTCTTTCCATTTGGATGGATGTATGGACTCTTATCCAAAGTATTGGGTGTGGAAAAGGCCATTCAAATGGTGAGTGATCAATTGGATGAAATCATTGCGACACGAAAACGACAAATTTTAAATAAGGAAGAATATAATCATCAAGACGTTGAGTTTAATGATGGAACCTTTGATGCGAGAGATGGTCAATCATTGTGAAGCTTCAACAACGAATGGACAACAAGAAGAGATGAGTGATGACAAGCACAACAACAACAACACTTGTTCATTATTGAATTTTGAGGCGATTAAGAGTAATGCTTATATATTTTCTTTGGCAGGACATGAAGTAAGTCTTTTGAAAGATGGTTTCAAAGTTTTGAATTCGTGATTTATTGATTCTTGTTAAATGACCATCCATCACGTCCATTCGTCGATCAATATTGATCATGTTTTGAATTTATATTCTCCAAATCTTGATATTATATTTATTATATTTTATTATATCTTATTTTGAATTTAAATTATTGATTCTTTTTGTAAATGACAATATTCATGACATCAAAATTCTTCGAACCTTGATATTGAACAAGACAACTGCAACAACACTTCAATGGATCACCTATCGAATCGCCAAACACAGAGATATTCAAGAAAAGATACGAAAAGAAGTGTTCGAAGTATTTGGACCTCACCCAAGACCTATTACATTTGAAGATTATGAAAAACTCATTTATACCAATTCTGTCATTATGGAAACACTCCGATTACATAATCCAGTACCAGGAGTCCTCAAAGTTGCCACTAAAGATGTCACACTCGGAGGTTTCAAAATACCAAAAGGAACGGATGTCATTATTAGCATTTCTGCCGTTTGTCATGCAGAAAAGAATTGGAAAAACGCACTCGAATTCAATCCTGATCGTTTTTTGGGCTCATTCGAAACTCAACTACGATTTCAACATTCCTTTGAATGGATTCCTTTCATGATTGGAAATCGAAGATGTTTGGGATACAAATTTTCATTGTTGGTAAGTTCATCATCTAGATGATACTAGTGCATACATGAGGTTTTTGACAATTTGTGAATTTGTTGAAATGTTGAAACTTTCAAAAACAATTCGAACAGGAAACTTGTGCCATTCTTGCCAAACTTGTTCACTCATTTGAATTTGAACTTCTTAATGATGAAAATAATCCCAAAGATGTCATTACGAGAATTCCTGGCATTACCACACGACCTGGAAATTTGAGAGTGAAAGCAAAACTAAGGAGCCCTTCTCATGTCCACAGTCACTAGATTTACTACATCACTGTCGGTCGGTTAGTGAGCCAAATTTGGAATTCCAATCGGAGATATTAAATTTACAATTTTTTAGACGTTTATCGTCCCGCCAAAATCGAAAGTAAAAAAATGAGCGCACGCCAACCGTTAGGCTCGACGTCGAACAACAACAATGGCCACCCTCATCGAGTGCAGCCTCAAGGTTTGACGTTTGCAAATCATGGATCGACTGCAAAAACAAGGACGGAATTGTTGGAGGTAGGTGTTTGTTTAACATCGGAACCAACCGGATGATCGATCTTCTGTAAAAAAGAATCGGAAAAAACAATATGCCGAGGAAGCTTTGAAAGGTCAACCGACCTCACCCAAGTTGATGAATCATCAGAGAAGAAGTGTATTTACGGTTGGTGAAACGATACGAAATATTGCTCCACCAACACAAGATAAATTATTTGAAAATGCTTCTGTGCCTTTTACATATTTGAGGGATAGTTCTCCGCAATCACAATATTTTAACGAACCAAAATCACCGAAACGATTGTTGGAACGGAGTCCCATTGTTGTCACACGAGAGAAAAAAAAGCATCTTACAGAAAATATTAATAGGACGAATATTAATGGTGTTGATAAGGGAGGAAATTCATGTTCTTTTGGACATGTGCCTTTGGCTGATGTAAAATATTGGTATTATTTATTTAATGAGAGGTCGGCTTTGGACGATCCCTCTATTCCACTGTACAGCAGTTTCAATAAGGACAATAAGTTTAACCCACTTAAGGAAAAAATTTTGCAAAAATCTAGCATGAACACCAGACAATCGTCACCCGAAAAGAAACCGTTCAATGCAAGCGAATACTTTACAAATCCCCATCATGCAAGAAGAACTACCTTCCCTTCAACATTAATGGTGGATGGTACTTCTGCTCACAAGGACAATTTGCCTGTTGTTCATGGAGAAAAAGAACATTTTTTGCAGCGCCAAAATTATGGATCATCAACTGTACCAACTCCCCAAACTACCTCACAACCCAATTCGAGGCCTTCATCTGCCTCCATAACGCTAAGAAAAAAGCCAAACAGCGTCACACTTCCTGAACGACCCATGAGTGCCAGAGTTTCAAGAGGGATTGTCAGCTCAAAAGAAGAACCAATCGAGTATCCAGTTCATCAAGTGAATCAAATAAGATCTTATTCTCCCGAAGTTGCACTCACCTCCCCGTCTGTTTCTAGAATTGAAGAACTCTCTGATGTGGCAACAAAGCCAAGTGGAACGTTTGCAAATTTCTTTTCTCCAGCATTGCCTGCCAAAACCCAACGACCTTCAGCCACCTCCTATGGTGTGAGAAAAGAAGCCCCAAGCAACCATACTTATTCGTCCACCTACTCCTCTGATACCTCATCTCGGCTAAGCTCAAGAAATTCCTTCCAAGGAAAACCTATCGAGACACCATCAGCAAGAGTCGTCGAACGAAAGCGACCGCAATCATCTTATTCTCCTAAAAAGCCCGAATTCACATTATCCAAAAGACCTTCCTCTGCTGTTTTGTCATAGTACGATGTTTATGTTTCGTTAGAATAGAATGATAGTCATTGACTTTATTGAACAGATGATTGAGATTCAACAGTTTCCTCATCGTCGCTGTCACTCTCTGGTGGAGGAGGTATCATGATATCTTCAGGCTCGTCATCGTCGCCGTTGAGATCGCCTTGATCACCGTGATCGTCAACTTGTTGTGCGTCCAATGGAGGAGTAAGCAAAGGAGATTCATCCTGGGTATTTCTTCTTGCAATAACTTTGGAATAATTTGCAACCACAGGAGTACTTGGAGCAACAGGTTCCGTAGATTCCAGAGATTTGAAATCAATAATGGTATTCAAGAGTTCAGCTTCATCTTTGTTGGCATTTGGATCGATTTGCAAACTAAATGATTGATACCACATTCTGCAAATAATTTCAGTACGAGCAATATTCTTTTCAAGTTCATTGGTTCCAACGAATGCTTCGTTGTCACTTGGTCCAACAGATCTGACTGCCTTTTCAAAGCCATGTGTTGGATTCAAGAATGGGAACACAATTTCTGCTTCCTTCTTGGTATAGACTTGTTGCTTTTCATGAGCATGGAATGAAATAAATTCCATAATATCTCTGGAAGCAGATTGGAAGAGAGGATTTTTGAAGAGAAGATTGCATTTTCCGTCTGGCATGCATTCCATCACAACCTTTGAAATGTTGCTCATTTCAGCAATAGACCAAAATCCTGGTTGGAAAATAACTGGCAATAATTTGCTGAGAAGTAAAAGGGAAGCAAAGGCCCAATTATTGATACTTGCATTCTTTGGTAAGGAAATTAGAGCCCAAGCCACAAAGTTGCCATTCTTGTTGAAGAAGACCTTTTGGAATGCACTTGAGAAATTTTGAGCGAATTGTGTGGTTGCCTTATTATGATCCACCATGTCACAAACTAATTCTTCGTTGGTGACTAATGACGATTGAACTTTACGGAATTCTTGTTCATAGGTTGTAAAGGTAGTCTTGAATTCAGCCAATTCATTTGCATACTTGTCAAACAACTTGTTGAGATGTTGTTTCTTTGAGAAATCTCCAGAAAGGAAGAGAACTGCTTGAATAAGTAATGTTGTGGCAACAAGCATATTAGAACCCTTTGGAAGGAATGTATCAAATCGATAGATCAAATTATTATACAATTCAAAGGTGTCTGCAAATGTTTCTTGATCGAAAATACCCTTGTAAATCACACGTGCCACACTAACATCGACAGTCTCTTCACCAGTGTATCCCTTCCATACATTGTACATGGATGAGTTCAAAACAGATTCATCAATGTTGTCACTTTGAGAGAGAGATTGCAATTTGAGCATATATTTGAGTCCTCTTGCAAAGTGAGATCTATTCCATGAGAAGAAGAGCCAGAAAACAACTTGGAATAAGAGTTTTGAAACTTTTGGAGGAGCCAACTTGTCAGATGGAATGTTGAAGAAGATGTCCATAATAATTGAAATTTTGGCATCATCTCTTACTCGAACAGCATCGAAAAATCCAGCAACGAGTTTCTCAATCACATCATAGGCAAAGTTCTTGTTGAGTGCTTCAAAGACATAGTATGATTCAAGTGAAATCTTGTTGTCTTTGGATTGAAGAGCCCAATTAAGTGCCATTTCAGAAATGGCTTCAGCTAGGTCAGGACGATGCCTCTTTGAAACATATTCAGTCCATTGTGTGATGAAAGATCGAACTCGTGTTAATTTTTGCACGTTATTATTCCTCAAATTTTCAGCCAAGAATTGGAATACCTTTTCCACATAACTCGTGGTTGAAGTATTTTGGTCTCGATGTCTAATGGCAAGGGATTGACAAATATTTCCAAGAATAAGTTTAGATTCTGTGTATGTTCTTGTGTTTTGGCTTGAATTGAAAAGAACAATGCAATTCATGAAGAGTTTTGGCAAGTGTGGAATGAGAGCAAGATCATGTTCATAAGTAATGTCAACAAGTATTTGCAATGCACTCAATTCCAAGTTGGAAATTTCAGCATTAGGTGGAGACTCAAGTCCTCTGTCAATAATAAATTGAGCAATGTCTTTCTTGGTTTCTGGGAATTTTGACTTGTAATCTCTCAAATAAACAACAATGTTCTCAAGAATGAATGGTAAACTCTTCTCGTCTCTGCAAATGTAGACAAAGACAGCTCTCAACAAGGTATGAGTTGGATTAATGGGTTGATTGGCACTATCCTTGGTTTGAGAAAAAACAAAGTCATAATTCTCAACAATGAATTTGACAGTCTCAGGAATGACCCATTTGCATTGTTCAGAAGATTTGATCAAGTTGTACCAAATCTTTTCGAGATAGTGTTTGTTGAGGTTGGTTGTTTTTAGTGAATCATCCACAAGTAAATCTTCTCCTCCATGAAGTTTCTCAGTGAGAGAGTACACATGTTTCAACAAGGTTTGAGATTTGAAATCTTTCATCTTGTAGTTGCCATCACCAACTCCATTATCCATACATGTTTTCACATAACCTCCAAAATTGTAAGCCCATGGAATCAAAATACGAAGAGTATTCTCCCTATTGACACCATCCAATAAATCCACAGTTTTGTCAGCCTCCACAAACATATCAAATGTAATTTGAGGAGTGCTCTTGGAAACAAACTCTGAAAAATTATACATTGTCTTCTTAAAGACACTTTCATCACCAATACTTGTTCCATGATAAGTAGTTCCATAATTAATGGTTCCATCAGCAGCATCTGATTTGATAATAATATTAATTAATTCATGTGCCTTGTCACGCATGGAAACATGTCCTCTCGTACACGAATGAATGAGTGCAAGATAAAACATTCCACCCAATGTGACAAATTGTTCTTGAATCCAGTGATCCAAGTGATCTTCCATGACTTTTACAATGGCTGACAAGTAACTCTTACAAATGTGTGGAATGCTGGATTTGAATTTTTGTCTTTCAAACTCACGTTCTTGAATTTCCTTTTCAAGAAGACCTTCGACTTCCTTTTTAGATCCTTTGAGTTGAGATTTCTTAAGTCTATTATTCATAATGTCATCATCATCTGTACTTTCCAAATCATCTTTCAAAGCTCTATTGAATGATTCATAATATGAATTGATGATAAATAAACGAATGGTTTGTGGATTATTTTTCAAAAATTCTGACATGGCTGGAACAATATCCACTTCGTTTCTATTATTCACAATCACTGTTTCAAAATATTTACGAATTTCATTAATGAACTTTTCATCCTCAATGGTTCCAAAGGCACACAAATATTGAACAGCGTTGGCAGCTTCTTGAACTGTAATGCTAAGTGGAGTGGAATGCAAGAAATTGAAAATTTTGACAAGTGCAATGTGAACATTGTGTTTCTTGAACATGTGACTATGAACACATGCTTGTTCAGCAATGTCAGCACTCTTCTCAAGAGCTGTTTGCTTACTAATGGCATTCAAATGTTTCAAATAAGTGGCAACAATTTCAACAGCATCCTTCCATGTGGAAAGAGTGAGGTAAGAACCAGGAATGTCCTTAACATCAATTCTTTCTTTGCAAGTCCAATTAGAGATGAGTTCATCAAAGAAGTCTCTCACTGAAATTCCTTGTTTTACAAACAAGAATTCTGTGGGTGACACGTGACTGATGGTTTTGGTGATAATTCTTTTCAAGAGAGAAATGATATGTTGTTCATAATCAGGATCACTACTTTCAATTCTATTTTCTTTCTTAATAAATGTTCTTTGTACTTCTACCAATCTAATTTGTGTTAATAACATGTATAAACTTGTTGGATGTAAACACTCGAGAGCATTTAACACAGCAGTCTTAATCTTGTCATGATTACGATACGAAGAGTTTTGTTTGGTCAATAATTGAACCAATTCGAGTAAGAAAGATTCTGCCTTTCCACTCAAGAATGGTCGAATGGATAAACAAAGGAATTTCAAATAATTGGCCAATAATTCAATACGCTTGAGATCTAAATCAGCAATTCCATAACTCCAACGTTTGACAAGTTCATCCCAAGCTTTAGTAATCGCATCATCCACATGATGTTTGCACATTTCTTCAATGTGTGGCATGTAGTTTGGATTGTACTTTTTAGTGTCAACAGGAAGTGGTGGTAATACCAAAATAGAGTCATCCAAGAGATAGGTATTTGCAGAAGCCACTTCTTTGGTAATTGCTTTCAACTCGGGTCTTGACAATTGTTTTAACACTTTGACAGCTTGAACTTTGACACGTGAAGTGTTAATGATATAAAGAAGGCACATGGCTTCAACCTTCTTTCTGACAGAGTTATATTCTTGAACATCGAGTCCAAGAATGAGTTTTTCAGATTCCTGAACTTTGTGAATAAAAGTTTCAAGAACGAGATATAAATCATTCAAAAGTCTTGAAGCAGTCTCAGCGGAAATTTCATTCACTTTCACTAATACTTCTCGATACTTTTCAACAACATCGACAAAGGTCTTTCCTGGTTCCAATTCAACCGATGTGACAAGAGCTTCTGATGCATTTCTTGAAACAAATCGATCAGGATGTAACAAACAATGAGTTCCAATAATATTTCTAATCTCTTTCATTTTCTCTTCAGAAGTGTTTCTAACTCTTGGGAAACATTTCAACACATTTCTCAACAATGAAACATCTTGTCTCATCTTTTCATCGGTAAAGATTGATGTACAAAGAACTCCCAATACATAATTTTGTTTTCCAATTTCATCTGGGAATAATCGAGCAACTCGTGCGATGGATGAAAGAGCAACAGCTCGATGTTCATTGGTGTGAAGTTTCATATTCTCTGGTTTGAGAATTTCATCCATGAGTTTTGGCCATGTTCTGTGAAGTTGTTTCTTTGCATATTCGACCAAGAATGTCTCTGCATCTTGTCTGTGTTCATTCAGAATGACTTTCTTGTGGAAAATTTGGTCTGAAACAAATTTCACAAAGGAACTAAATCTTTCTAAATCTTTGGTGATGTAATCACTAGGTAAATAAGTTACAAAAAGTTTGATAGATTTGAAGAATGCAAATCTTTCCTTCTTATCTTTGAGTCCATCTTGGAAATATTTGATAAGTTCAGGGAAATATTGAAGATATAAATCTTCCTTAGCACGACAGATCATCATAGCCATGCATGTGACTAAATCAATCGTTTCAGCTTCTTTCTTTTGAGCCAATTTTGACAAATTGTCATAAATTTCTTGGAAGAATAGCCAAAAGCGATTGTTTGCTTCATTGTTTGATGAGAATTGTTTGAATTGCTTTTTACGTTTCTCCCAATGTTCAACATTATCAAGTAATTTGAATTCTTCATCATGCATGAACACTCCAGTCAAGGTCTGTTCATAAATGTGAATAAGTGTTTCACAAATGAATGGCATTAATTCCTTCTTTCCTTTTTTCAAATTTGGAAACTTTTGACGAATGGCATCGAGATATTTCAGAGTACCTTCTGTGCGTTCCTCATCGGCAAAGCTAAAATCGAGATATTTGGTAAGTTTTTGTAATGGTAAAAAGTTTTTAGCTTCAGTTTGCGATTTGCCGACTTTTTCAAAGCTTGTCAACAAGATTTGTAAAACACTGTCTAATTGGAAACTTGAAATTTCACCGAGGAGTTTACCACAGTCTTCAATGAAAATGTCATTGTAAATTCTATCATAGCAAATCTTTTGAATTTTATCTGGAATGTAGACTTTTGAAGATGGATTCATTTCACTAATTAGTGTTGTTCGTGTGATCACAGTAGTAGTAGTAGAGTGAGTGAGTGGTTATATTGTTTGATGTGGTTGTAAAAATAGTAATACGATGATTGGTAATTGATTGAGAATAAAGGATCAAGCCATACACGCAAGGAATGATCAGCAAATGATTCATCATCAGGTCAATCACACACACGCACACGAACAAGTGGTGTGAAATTTCACAAGCATTCAAAATTTCCACAACACAGAAACAGTCGCGTAGGAACATGATCAGCTTGCTTGTAAATGACTAATCATGAACTACTTACTTGTGATGTCTATAAGATTGCAGACACAATTGCATATGCCTCATAATGACATTATCAATATAATCATTTTCCTTTCTTTCGGGAATGATAATTTTCTTCTTACTGTTAATATCTTTCAAGAGCGAATAATTGGAGATGATGTCTGCCATTGAATCTAAAATCTTCAACAAGTTGTTTTTATCTTTGGAGAGACGGACGAGAACAGTTTTGACAGATTCCAAGTTGAGTAGGAAATCGATGTGTTCGACCTTTGTTTTCAATTCTTGGACCTATTGGAGAAGATCATATTAGAAGAGTTTTGGATTTGTCAATGATCATGAAGAATTTGGAGAAGATCACCATTAGGAGATTCATCAAGTGATTCGTACCAATAGACATTATGTGATCGTACGATAGAATGACAAGGAAAATGACGTGGTTGATGCACCGTCAAATGTCAAACATGTCATGACCGAAACACAGACGAAACGTGATCGAAATTGAAACATGGTCAATCATCATCAATTCATACATAACATTCCAGAGTGATTTTTTCACACCGACCACACTTACCTGTCTATATTTGTCTACAATATCACTTTTAATACTCGATTCGACAGCAACAATCGAATGCGAATGAACCAAAACTTCGTATGCGACAATCAATTGACTACCAAATGTTGTTATTGTTATTATTTCATTCAATATTCCAATTAATAATAATTTTAAAAAAAACATTTCAAGTCGCAATAAATCATTATGATCATTTAACACAAATATTTTGATGGATCGAATAAATTCTTCTTCTTACCTGATGGTCACTTCAATGTTGCTTTGATCTAAATTGTTGTTGGAGGAGGAAGTGGAAGGAGAAGAGACTGTCATTTTTTGTTGTTGATGTCGGATAGTGAAGGTTGACGTTTTTTTAATGAAGGAACGTTGGACGACACTGTCAACAGCTCCTTGTTGACGTTTGCGATTGATTGTGGTTATGAGAACAAATTAGAGAAATGAGCGAGATTTTCAACCAGTCAAAAAGTATGTTGTCGCCAATTTTAGAGATGAATATTTGTTCACCACATCTACCGGGTGCTCGTTGTGAATTGCTATCGCTGCGATTCTAATCTTGGAGTCGACCAAAGTTTACAACAATTCAAAGATTCGTTTTAATATATTTATGGGCATTGGAATGATAATTTACAAGAGCGGTTGTACAACCAAGCAGTGGAATACACCGGGATTTGTTACATGGTCACAAGCTTTCTAAATTGTTCAAAACTCAATGTCTTACTTCCATCAAAAAGCGTGGCCAGTTCATCGTCGGAAAAGGTATTTTGAATACCTAAATTAGTAATTACTTTTTTGAATTCACTCAAGGATACTACTCCATCATCATTGGAATCCAAAATCTCACTAAATACAATCTTCAAATCTTCCTCACTGAAACCATCCTCTTCATCCACTTCATTCAATAAGGACGTTGGAGAGAGTGATGGTTTATTCTGATTCGAAAAGGCATTCACATGCAAGGAGGCACTTCGTCCTCTTCTTCCACCCGAAGGACTCTTGGCACGTACCGAAGAAGAAGAAGCAGCAGCCATACTTTTCGCAGCACTCTCATCTCGACACAATTGTACAAATTCCTCAAAAGTAACTCCATCCTTATAGTTGGTTTGTAACTCTAACAAAATGTCCTTCATTTCAGGTCCATAAAAGACTGAACATAAAAAGTCTTTCATCTCTTCGGGATTCAAACGATCGTCTTCATCCTTATCAAAGAGTCTAAAGATGATGGAGAGTCGTTCCTTACGTCCTTCCTTTTTATGAGTAGCAGTTGAAGAAGAAGGGAGTGGCGAGAGTGATGAGGTTGTGTTTGGACCCGAGAGACTCATTCTTCGAGTGGGTGTGATGTTGGTTGAAGCTCCATTCATTCCAACAACGGAGGAAGAAGGAGAAGTGGATGGTACTGATGGAAGGGATGAACCTGAAGGTGATTTGGGAGATTGAGGAGAGAGTGCTCCTCCAGGAGTCGGATTCGATTTGGCTCTCGTTCTCGAAGCCAAGATGTTATTGAGAGGAGAGTTCTTAATGGGAGAGGTTTTACGGGGAGGTGTGGAGGGATTGGCCTCGAGAAAACTGATGCGTTTGGCACTGTTGTTGTTATTGGGAGAGGCTGGAGAGATGAGACCTCCAACACTTCCTTGATGGTTATTGTTGTTGTTGTTGTTATTGGAACTCATGGTAGTTGTTTGAAAAAAGGTATGAAAAGGAGGATTGGATATTTGGTTTCAATAATGGATGGAATTGTTGTTGGAAAGGAACCACAAGAGAGTTTAGGGCTCTGAACAATGATCAGAGAGGGTCGTGTGTGATGCGAGGGACGGGATTGGTCTTCCTGAGCTCGAGAGGTTGTAGTGTTCGCTGCGTTGCGTGATGGTGGTGGTTGCTTGGAACCAAATGGACAACAGAAGAGAGAGAGAAAGAATGAGAGTAGTAGTAGTAATGACACGATCGCTCGATAAGCTCTTGAACCACTCGAGTGTATGTGTTCTCTTTTTTCAATTTTTATATCCATTGACAAGCCAGTAACTTGTGTTGATTTAAATGTAAGAAGAAGAAGAAGAGAGGACACAAACGCGCATGCATCGAATGTCGTCTTTTGCACACACTCCCGCGAGAGAGAGAGAGATTAACCCAATCAACCCTTGAACATCAACACGAGTCAAATAAAGTGCGATTTTCGGTTCTCTCAGAGTACTCAGTTTGTGTCTCAGAGTTGTATTTCTATTGTCACCTCTCTAATGTTGCTTCTACAGACATTCAATAATGCATTCCAATAGGTGCTCAAAACCAATTCTCATTCTCTCTCTCATTCCCAAGTGGTTGAATTAATGGGCTCAATGGGCTCCTGTCTTCCGCCCACATGCATGTTTTTGGACCAAGAAATTCCATGGTGATGTTTAATAAAGATCATCTCTCTCTCGCATGGGAAGTCACACACGACACACCAACCCTAGTAATTCATCAACAATCAGAACCATTAGAGGGATGAATGAAAAATTTATGGAAGTGGTTCAAAAGGACGCCCTTTGGCAATTGCCATCGCTGATGTTGTTTTGGAGAATGGTTGTTGTTGAAATATTCTTTGGATGGTGACGATATATTCATTCAAGGACAAGCGAAATAGTTCTTGACCGTTCTATCTCTCTTTAGAAAATAAATGAAATAACCATCTCTCTATTTAATGGCTTGTTTTGGGAAAAAAGAATGAAAAGGAAGAAAATTTATATAAAAAAGGAAGTGGTTGGAGTTGAGAAGGTTTTTACATGAAGAGGAAAGTACTTTTTAAATTCGATATGGTGGTCATCTCATTGGTTTCGTTCGTTCATCCATTGAGGAAAGCAGACCTTTTGACAATCATCAAGACAACAAGCTTTCCAGCATGAAATCCCAAATAAACATTGAACAATCGCTAGAAATTAAAATTCAATCTAGTTGCACTCGTTGAGGTATTTCATTTGCAATTTCACGTAC